TTGTCTATGGCAGCTAAAGCCTTCCAAAATGTATTTCTTAAATAATAAGACTTGAAAGTCATAATTACTCCTGATCCATGGGCTGCAGAATAGATGTCGTGTTAAGCATGGAAATAGCATTCATCTCATGCATCTCCATCAGAGCTCCTGGATGACTTGTGCATTGTCCGTGAGCAGTAATATTTTGAAAGAAATTTTCTTTGTGTTTTTTGTTTTCTGAGCAGTAGGTTTCAACAATAGACTAAAATATTGATGTTGTAAATGTGCTGTCATTCAGGCTTTGTTCTATATATAGAGCACAGAGTAGATTTCACTTGATACTCATGGGACATAGGATTTTCATAATGTTAAATGAATATTGGCTTTGTTAGCCGCTAACGGGAAAATCAGCCTATCCATTGAAGAAACCTTGATGCCAGGCGCTGACTCCTCTCCAGCTGTGACAATGCTGGGTGGCCTCCCCTTGCAGTTCTCTGCATTGAAAACCTGTTGTTTAGTGCAGCCACCTTCATTAGCTGTCTTAGCTTCATCTCCTGGAGCACTTGCAGCAGCCTCTGGGTCAGCTCTTCCTGCCTTACCTTGCATAAGTATGCAGTGGGGATGGAATCTTGCCTTAAACTTCATGGGCCAACCCCTGCTGGCTTCACACTTTTCTTCTGAAGCCTCTTCACCTCTCTCAGGATTTATAGAATTGCTGAGAATTAGGGACTTCCGCTGAATTAGGCCTTGCCTTAAAGGAATGTCATTCCTGTTTTAATTAAAATGATAAAGAACGAAATATTTTAGGAACTATCAAAATGTGACACAGAGATAAGAAATGAGCAAATGCTGCCAGAAAAAAATGTCACCAATGGAATTGCTGTACTCAGGGTTGTTACAAATCTTCAATTGTTTAAAAATATGCATTACCAGGGAGGGCAATAAAATGAAACATGCCTGTAATAGCAATGAATTTGCACTGGGAAGGTAAAAAGTGGATTCCTGCCTTCAGAATTCTCTCCTTTCTCCACTCCCCAGCACAGCCAAGCTCTTGAGTGCACATGTGCACACACAAAGCCAGTTGTTTTATGTTTATAGAGGGTAAAAAGAAAATGCAAGACCAGCATGCTGCATCGGGATCTCTGCAAGAACATGAGGAAGATCGTTTCCAAGAACAGGTGAAGAAAGTACGTGTCCTTGATGAAATCAGTAGACAGAGAACTATGGACACCGAAGGGTAAGACGTTCCCGTGTTAATTATGACAATGTGTGAATGAATGTGTGGAGTTATGTGGATATTGTAATATATTTCAGAATACTTACCACCGTATTCCTTTACCATATTCAATCAGTACAGATGTGCATTTATTTCTTGACCTTGATTTCTGTAATCTGCTGCTTATGTTCATTCTAACTGGTTACCAGAGTCTTGTTTGTATTTAGTTTGAGATTTTAGCGGGTTCTTGGACCAGATTTAGTCACTTCATTATCTGGATCCCCCTAGGTCCATTTTTATTGTCCTTAGGTTTCAGCCACATCAAAGTGTCATGACCTGCCATGTGTCTATCATTTTTAATAAACTCTAGACATTTGGTAGAAAATAGAGAAAATTTGAGGCCTCGTGTGAGGTTAACTTGCTGCAGAGAAGGTGGGCGTTACAGCTGGCAGGTGGTCAGGGTGCCAGCAGCGCTGCATCCTGTTAACCCAGTTAGCAGCTGAGATCAGTCAGTGCAGCCAGCCCTCGTGAGGCCCGTGTGTCTCCTGTCCACCTTTGTTTCTGGCATGTAGCTCTCGTGGATCCCAGCTAAGGCCTGCGGGTCTTTCTAGGGATCACCTTCGCTGACAGACCGTGAGCTCCAGCTGCCTGACTGCGGTGCCCGTGCGTAGGGGGCACCGGCTGCCAGGCTGCCCTGCATCTCAGTGGTTTCCTCTGCAGTTACCGGGTGATCCCCGGGGAAGGTGGGCCCAGTCCTGGGCTTTATTCTTCTCCGTCTTGGCCTCATGTCCCTTCCTGGCTTGTTAGCAATTTGGTACATTCAATCATGGATTTTTTAATTTGTCCAGAGTTTCCTGTCATTCTCAGGGAGAGGTCATGGACGTCACACCCATTAACCTGCTTTCAAAAACAAACATTTCCTTATATTTCCTAAAGGATCAGGTTTTGCTCCAGGTTTTGACTGAAATCTGGGCTCTCTGGGAGAAATCAAACAAGTCATGAATGCTTGCTTTACCCTAATGTGTTTGGTTGTGATGACTTGGTCAGACCCTGATTCCCACGTTGAAACACAGTGAGCTCGCGCTGCCCCAGGCACAGGATCCTGAGCCTAGGGGGGGTGCAGAGCACACCTCACATGGGCTTTTCCTGTGTGTTTACTTTATGCACAAATGAGTAGGGGTGGGGACGCTGAAGGGAAGCCCAGATACCAAGCACTTGCCAGAGGACTGAGTGTAGTTTTTTCATGTTTATTAGTGGGGGTACTTTAATTCTTTCCTGTGTATTTATCAGCCTGAACATTTATGGGGAAGGGCGAAAGGAACATGGAATTCTTCCCTTCCAGTTTCTGGGAGGGAAACTGGCAGAATTTCAGAGTTTCTTTCCCCTCTCAGGAAGGTGGACATGAACGGATGTGAGCTGGTGGGAAAGCAGCGGCTTCTGGCAGCAGAGAAGGCAAAATTGGCTGAAGAGGAGGCAAGAGAGTACAAGTGAGTTCAGCTCCTCCGCACCTGCGGCTCTGAAAACACCTGTTGGATTTTTTGAAAACTTTTCTAAAATGTTTAGACACAATATCATAAACCGACCCAAACAAAAGACATTTGTATACATGGCTTTACACAGGAGGAAAAGTGTTAAGTTTTACACATGTTAAGTTAAATGTTTAACTTTAAAAAGTATTAACTTACTAAGAATTTCCTGGTCCCCAGTGCTGGCCAGACTGAGAGGAGAGACGGTTCACAGAGATGTTTCTGAAGGTGCTATAAACCGTTCTCACCCTGAGGACAGCAGTTTAGTGTAGCGTCAGTCGGACCAATAAACATGCCTGTGCTGCTGGGGAGA